CATTAATTTAAAATGACATCTTAAATAGTGTTTCACACAGGATTTTTGTCTTATATATACTACCTAAAATATTTAGAAATTATCTAGATGTGTGATAAAGGGATTTCTTATCAAACTGAGAGATGACATAAAAAGTAGAAAGCAAAATCAAGCAAAAAGAATCAGCTAAAAGTTAACAACATGAAATTTTACAGAAACGATATTGTATAACTGCAAATTGTTTTTAATGTTTCATAAAAAGTCATGCTTCTAGTCCAACATATTGTCTTCAATTTGATTTGTTTTTTTTAATGTTATAGTATAAAGTACAAAAGAAAATAGTAGGAAAGATAGGAGAGGGAGAAAGGGAGGGAAAAGTATAGGAAAAAAGAAAGAGAAAGAAAAGGCATTGACTTCCGACTCCCTTTGGTGCATTGGAATAAGATAATAACATCAAACCTCAACATTTTACATTTACATAATACTATAAACCAGCCATTTCCATAGCAACAAACCTATCCACTTAGTAAAATCTACCGAAAATCCAAGTTTATTTTTTTTCCACCTCGGGCACAAAGGCCATTTGTGGTTTCCAAGTAGCAACAAAATTGTGGTTTTTTTTTTTTTCTTTAATCAAAGCAGTCAGTTTAGCCAGCTCTGCTAATTCCATCAATTTGTGCATCCATTCGTCCATTGTGAAAATCAAAGTGTCCTTAACCCCAAAGAAAAGTTTTTGGTTTTATCTTTATATTGACTTTTAAAATATTCTGTATTAGGATGTGAATCCTACTCCAATATTTCTTTGGTGTATCACAGGTCCACTATACTTTTGCAATTCCAATATTCATTTGAAATACTTTTATACATTCTGGACAACTTATCTGGTGTTAAATACATCATCTTATAGAAGTTTTCTTTTAAATTATAATTTAGTGTAAATTTTAAATCTTTCATCTACATATTCTCCCATTGTTCAAGCATGACATTATATCCAAAGTTCCTTACGCACTGAATCATGCAGTGCTTTAAATATTCATTTTCCAAATTCAAATTCAATAACACTTTATAGACCTTAGCAATAATATGTTCATCACTATCACGCAGTAGGATTTCTAATTCAATTTTCATAAAATCAAAACCATAACTCAATACGTCATGTGATGCTGCCCTGTTGATGTAAGTTTGATACCACTGCTTTAGAGTCTGAAGAAGTTCATTTTTAACACATTTATAATATTGGTTTGTAAAACCATCTGGACCTGGAGGTTTGCCTAATTTCATTTTTTAATGGCTTCTGATATTTCAAAAGTAATTATTGAATCATTCATAAGTTCTCTGAGTTTGTGAGAATTTAGTTAACTATTGTCTTAACAAATATTCATCTATTTTAGACACATCTAGCTCCTGCTTGTTGCAAAAGTTATAATAAAAATTATGGACTTTTTGATAAGATCATAATTATCTGTTATTACATTATTACCTTCACACATTTTCTCAACCATTCTCTTTTCCCTTTCCTTCTTAGTTTATATCCCAACTATCCTCCTGGTTTATTTGCAAATTCAAAATGTCTTTGCTTCACAGAATTCAATTTTATTTCTTAAACTATTAACAGGCAGTTGTTGACATAGCAATTTAATTTGATGTAGAGTCTAATTTAATTTAGAATCCGCAGGTATCTTTTGCAATTCAATTTTCTTCTATTTAGTTTCAACCAATACCTTTTGTATCTTTTCCTGGGATATTTTTTTTCTTCTCTAGGCCAGCAGCCCCATACCTTTTGGGCATCAAGGACTGGTTCTGCGGACTGGAGGGTGTGTGGTTTCGAGTGCTGCCTGCATCTTGCAGATAGGGTTTTGTTTGTTGGTACACCGAGAACTGGTGACAGAGGTTGGAGACCCTTGCTCTGAGCAATTCAGAGCTGGTATTCAGCAGATTCTGATCAGTTCTGGAGAACCGGTAGCGGAAATTTTGAGTAGTTTGGAGAACTGGTAAATACCACCTCTGACTGGCCCCACCCCAATCTATTCTCCACCTCCCAAGTCTCTGCTGATCGGGAGGAAATGGGGATTTTATAGTAACCTTCCCCTGGAGTGGGGAGGACTGGATATTTTATAATATCCTTCCTCTGCCACGCCCACCAAGCCATGCCATGCCTACCAAGCCACACCCACAGAACCCGTAGTAAAAAAATTGTGAATCCNAAAGGGGGAAAACGAGACAAAGACAACATATTAAAAACAAAACCAACATTCACAATTTCCGTGGAGGTAAATGCTTCTCAGCCCCCCCCCCCCAGTTACTTAGAACCAAGTAACCTGGTTCTAAATGTTAATAAAACAAAGGAGATCACTATAGATTTTAGAAATACTATTTTACATTATTTCCAAATAGGCCTCAATGAATAATGGTGTCCCAAAATGGTTTCTGCTACAGATGTACTAAACCACTAAACCACAGCAATCTTATAAAAAGCAACATCCCATGCTGTTTATTAATACGTTGAAAGGTTGAAACCAAGGACCTGGGAATTTGCAGATCTTTAATACTGGGCCAGTATGATCTTGAAAGAGCAATTTGGAGAAGTGATTAAGGCATCAGGCTAGAAACTGGGCGACCCAGAATTGTAGTCCCACCATAGGCATGAAGCCAGCTGGGCGACCGTAGACCAGTCACTCTCACTTAGCTCTGAGAAGTAAACAATGGCCAAACCACTTCTGAAATTTTGCCAAGAAGACTGATTCAAAGGCACAAGAAAAAAAAATCTTGACTCCAAGAATTGTTTAGCAGCCTAATTTAACATGCCCATATAATGTTCTGGACACTCTTCATAATAAACAAAACAGTTTTTATATCATTCTTTTGCAAATTATTTTTATGTTTTGAAAAAAGGTCACTGCTTTCAAATAACTTTAATGAAATTTTAAAACATATTTTCATTCATGCAAAATCTTTATGAAAATGCCAATAAATAAATGCTAATTATTTTAACTATATCAAGCAATATCATAGGTCAATAGCAAAATACATAATTCAAATATCAAAGGTTTCAAGTTATTCTTTTTCACTGGAAAGATAAAGTATGATAGAAAAGAATGACACGTTATTAATTCAGACACAAGTTCCTGATCAATTGATCAGAATATGGTAATGAATTACCGTTATAACTTGCTTTAGAACTGCCACTTTGAACATTTATTTTATTCCCCCCTCCCCTAGATTTTAGAGGATGATTTAACCACTTGCACAAAGAATTAGTTTCTTGCAATTTGATGGTGCTATCCAATTTTCAGGAGGTTGTCTGAACTATACCTGGTAGCATCATTCCCAGTTATTTTTATTTTCAATTTATCAAGTTACTATAGTCAAACAAACAAACAACCAAAAAAAACGTCATAAAACTCCATGGAAAGTAATATACAAAAGTAAAAAACAAACAGTCAACATTTATTCTTACTTGAAAAATTCTGTTTTTTCCTCCTCAGATTTCAGTGTTAAACTATTCAGAAAGCTTACCACTTCTAAGAAATCGTTTCTGAAAAAGTTTAAATGACCATTATTGAGCAAAGACATACAAACAGAACAGAATACTTCAGCATCCATAAATAAAAATGATTCATTTGCAAATAGAAAGATGCAGTCATACTTCACAGTGAAGTGATATCAAAACAAAAAACTTAAAAGAGATTTCTTCAAGAACAATTCATGTTGAATTTTCAGCCTCAGGCTCTGCACAAGCTAGTTGTTAAAAAATAGAAACAAAAAACTAACTACATCACATCAGAAACTATGCTATAAGAACTGGGTGAGTGCAGTAGAAAAACACATAGACAACAGTATTGATCATTCTTTTAACCAAAGCTTATTTTTTCAATTAGTGTTGCTTATGCATTGATCACAGATTATGAAAAATACTGGAACTATTCAAATCATTGCTTATATCTTACATATCATCAAGATTGATGTAATTGAACTGCAATTCCATTGCAGTATTATTTAGCTCCTAATACAAAGAACAATATAGCAATAGCAATAGCAATAGCAGTTAGACTTATATACCGCTTCATAGGGCTTTCAGCCCTCTCTAAGCGGTTTACAGAGTCAGCATATCNCAAGTAGAAAAATAGGAATCACCTTTGGTGGGAAGGTAACAGTGTTCTGTGTGCCTTTGGCGTTTAGTCATGCCGGCCACATGACCACGGAGATGTCTTTGGACAGCGCTGGCTCTTTGGCTTTGAGATGAGCACCGCCCGCTAGAGTAGTGAACGACTAGCACATATGTGCGAGGGGAACCTTTACCTTTTTAATATCATTTGCAAATTTCTCCCACCCCTGAAAATGATTGCTGACCCAGCCTAACCCTTACAAAATAATGAGCAAAGTTGCTAAAAGCATTATAGCTCTTCCTTAAATAAAGACCTGCACAGAAAGTCACAAGAATCTGCTATCACTCATTAGCAAGGACTTTTTTTGTGTGATTATATTTATATGCTACCCATCTCCCGGATAAGGTGACTAACCTTATCATAAGGTGACTAACAAGTCAGGAAAAGCAATGTCTACTCCCCACGAAAAGGCCCAGGGCTCTGATGAGTAAAGGGATGAAAGCAAGGTTGGGGTTAAAGTGATTAATAATTTCATATCTTGCGTGCTGCACTGGCAGCTCAGCCATGAAAGTTAAAGAGGGAACCACTTAACCCGATATGGCTTCTTTGCTTTCTCTGGAATCGCTTCTTCTTGAGCAAAAACACTCAAGAAGTGTTTTTGCACCATTTGCTCTCCAGATATGATCTGATGAAGGAGGGTAATGGGGTTGGTTTGTCATCCCATCTGGAAGCAGCCAGTGTGATGGAATGTTGTGGACTGGATCGCCATGAGAGAAAGGTGTATTCCAGAGCAGGGGTCTCCAACCTTGGCAACTTTAAGACTTGGGGACGTCAACTCTCAGAATTCCTCAGCCAAACAAGTCTTAAAGTTGCCAAGGTTGGAGACCCATGTTACAGAGGAATAAGAGGCAGTTCAGTTTAGTTTTGTGAGACCAAAAAGGTGAGACATTGCCTCCTTAATAGTTTTCAAGAGAATATGCTTGATGTAGATAGTAGAATGCTTTAGTCGGGCAAGATGCCGTCTACAGGCATAAAACAAAGAAATCTACATGGAAGAATCCACAGGTGTCTTTCTTGGTTTGGAAGGCCTCACAGCCAGGTAGAGACGGGAAGAAGAACTTCCGCATGACAAATGTATATCAGGAGAGGAGAGGCAGGCACAGTCTTGCCCAGATAGAAAAAAAACGTTTAATGTCTCCTTGGCAAAGTGAAGATTTTAAAAAAACCTGAAATAGTCTGTCACGCCTTGATCTCAATGTTTACTTGGAAGCAAATGTCACTCACTCAAAATGTACATGCTTCTAGACAGGAATGAGCACAAAAAGCACATTCTAAAAAGACACCTCTTCATATGGACTCTTGTATGTCATCCATCCATATCTACTGTCAGAAGACATTCTTGTTCTTGGAGGAAACTCCTGTAGCTTTATGCTCAGTATTGTCCCCAAACTTGCAAGGTTGGCTTGGGAGCATTTCATGGTACCCAGGGATGACAATAGAGCAAGTTAATCTTGAACAGGAGGTCTTCTACTTGGAGGAAATAAAGCCAAACGAGCTTGATGGAAAAGTTGGGTCAACCTGTAGAGGAAGGGTAGAGAAGATGGGGATGCTAGGAGGGAGCGGAAAGAGAATAGAAGAAAAATAAAATTAATGCCTTATGTTAATTTGCTTGTGGCTACAATACACCTCCAACTAAATTGGGATCCTTTTGTGATATTAACACTGTTTTGAAAGGCAGCCTTCCAGCAAGAATGTTCTTTGCCCCAAACTAGAAAAACAGGGAAATTCCACAAGAGGAGGAAGTAATTAGGAAAATTCTGACTTGTGCTGAAATGGATAAATTGACGTGGGGACTGAAAAATAAAGACGAATCAGAATATTATAAGATCAGGGACAAATTTTATCAATGGTTGGAACAAAAAAGGAAAGACCCAAAATAAGCAATGACTAAGATTTATAGAATGGAGATTAGAATTACATCAGACGTTAAATATAGTATGAAACTACCACCAGTGAAAATGAATAAGATAAAAACAAAGCGTCATGGTTGGAAATACGATATTTTTATATTTGTAAATGCTGAATAGATCAACTGGTTGCTAACATTTTTTCAATCCCACCCCTGCCTGTGTCCCCTACCTGGATCAAGTCTCACTACAATGAGACATAACAGGAGAGCCACCAGAAGTGTCTTTTTGAGGGGGATGGAACTGAAATGGCTTGCCAAAGACTCCAGTGCTCTTCTCAGCTGGACCAAAATGGTCAACATCCTTTGAGACACCGAACCTGCAGCACAAGAGAAAGAAAATTCACAAGGGAGAAGACAAGGGCCAAGAACACCAAAACTGAGCTTTCTCATTTCATTTTTTTAAAGATGAATGACTTTATATATTTTCCTTGTGGTTTTAATGGAGATTCTTTTAAAACATGAACTGTTATTTAGTGTGTTATTTATATAACCTAGATTTATTATAGTAGTTTCTGACATTCAAAGTTGAACACAATGTGTAAGCTTTACTCAATTCTTTCTAAAATATCTCAAAAGATGGGATCTATATCTATCTTGTTCATTGTTTTTAAACAACTGCATAATTCTGCTTTAAAAGGCACACAAAGCTAATTTCTTCCAAGTCTGTCAAACATTTTTTGGTGAGTTTGTTACACACTAATCATCATAGTTAATCAAATTAAGAAGCTGGTTTTCTTATTCTGAAATAAGATGTAACCTTATTACATTTTACTACACATTAATTAATCTGCTGTGATAGGACAACTTTGTTGCCCCTTATTTACATTAGCTCTGTAGATTATAAATTACAGCATCCTTGTTTGGAGTTCAGGTAACATGTTACACTTTAAAATGACTGGGCTCTTTATGTGTTGCTGTGTTTTTCAAGATTATTAATCACTGTTAGATTATCTGTTCACCTAGCCTAGTACCAACTCCTCTTAGTGACAGTGATATTCTATGATTCCACTCTGGGATCTTTCCTTTTCCTTTAACTAAAATTGTAAAGGATTCAACATACAATGTTTCATGAGTCAATTGTAAACCTCTAAGTTAAGGAAGCTCAGTAACTAAAACACTGAGCTTGTCAATCAGAAAAGTCGACAGTTCAGTGGTTCGAATCCCTAGCGCAGTAACGGAGTGAGCTCCCGTTCCTTGCCCCAGCTTCTGCCAACCTAGCAGTTCGAAAGCATGTAAGAAATGCAACTAGAAAAATAGGAGCCACCTTTGGTTGGAAGGTAACAGCGTTCCGCGCGCCTTCGGGTTTAGTTATACTGGCCATATGACCACAGAGACATCTTCGGACAGTGCTGGCTCTTTGGCTTTGAAACGGAGATGAGTACCACCCCCTAGCGCCGGGAATGACTAGCACATATGTGCAAGTTGAACCTTTACCTTTACCCTTAAGCTGAATGGAATCTACTGTAGACCTGTTTTTGCTCGTGATTGAAATTACTGTAGTTTCAATCTGCCTCAAGGGGAAAGCTGCTGGGAATCAAAGGCATATAAATTAAATCTATAATTAGCAAATCCAGCTGTTGTGAAATACAGAGATCAAAACTATGTGATGCAAAAGGAGAGAGAAGACTATGGATCTTTTTTTCTCCTTGGACCTGTTCAACAATTTAATCAAGAGAACTCTTTGCTTGTGCCATCAATCATTCAGATGTATAAAGCTCCTGCCTTGAACAGGGGGTTGGACTAGAAGACTACTGAGGCCCCTCTTCCAGCAATATGGTTCTGTGTTCTACTGTAGGTACCTAAGGAAACAGGACTGCCAGAACAGCCAAATTCTAGCACTGAATGGTGATGCTTTAACCAACCATTGGTTTAGCCGAAGCTCAATGCTCATTGCAGGCAATGCTGCAAATGATTTCACAAGGCCAGACAGAATGTTTGGACACTCGGTGTTCCATCTACAAGAATCCTACCCAACAGCGGCTTCCATGACATCTCTGGCTGCTCCTCGGGAATTGGAGATGCTTCTTCTATCTTTAGCCACTGATCCTTCTTTTCTTGAAGGGTTTTGTGCATATCTTCTCGCTGCTCCTGGCTCAAAGCTTTGCAACCTTGGATCAGCTCCTCTGCCTTTGAAAAGTGTCCGAGTGGCAGGAGCACATGGAAAAGATAAAGCTGAGCCAAGAGGCCATAACTTGACAAGTCCTGATTGGATGGGCAGTATAACCAGTCCCCACCAACCTCTAACATCACTTGAGGTTCTTCCACTTTGCTATGGAGGAGGATGCTAAAAGAGAATAGAACGAATAAACACTCTAAGTCATGTTTAACACATTCATATTTCTACTTGAGAGACCGCCTCCTGCCAATTACCTCCCCACGACCTATTAGATCTCAAAGATTAGACCTTCTCCGAGTTCCAGCCGCCAGTCAGTGTNGGGGGACTTCGCCGTTCCCGAAAGTTACTTACTTCCGGGTTCGGCGACCAACCGGATCGCAGGGACCGGTGCGAACCGGTTGAAACCCAGCCCTGAGCAGGATATTCAAACCACTGCTGCCTTGATATATTAACACTGTGTTTTGAAAAATCCCTTCTAAGGATTCTAATACACAACCCTGAAGTTATTAACAGCTGGCTTTAAAAGGCAGTATTTTACAACATTATGTGAAGTACATACAGGACCTTGTAAAGAAATCTACTCTACGCTGAAAAAAATATTGTGGCACAAATAATGGACGTTTCAGTTTCTTTGGAGAGAAAATTGTTCTATCATTCTACATTTTTAATTACTAAAACCAGAACTTTCTTATTTTGTATTCTTTAGAGCAGAACGGGATGACTCACAGTGGCCAGCTCAATGTGGATTGTGGGCATGGCCGGGGGGAGTGGAGAAGGCCCATGCCGGGTCTGCACAGATGACTCGTTATGGCCAGGTGGGCTCCGACCAGTGGGTGGGGCTGGGTGGATGTGACCAGATGGATGCAGCTGGGTCAGTGCTGAACAGCTCACATTGGCCAACTGAGCGCATACAAGTGGGCGCAATCAGGTTGGCACAGATGACTCGGTGCAGATGATTCGAAGCGCCCAACTGTGGACAGCTGGTGGGCACAGCCGGGTGGGTGCACTGGGTAGGTGCAGCATTGGGTAGGTATGGAACAAGTTGCACCAGCAACAGCTCCTCGCCTCCCCTTACAGCAGCCTGGAGTTGGGTGCCATTTCATCCCACTCCAGTGCTGTAACCTCAAAGGGAAAGAAACTCATGAGCTCTCCCGGAGCCTGCACTGGAGCCCAACGGTGGTTGATCCACTATCCTGAAAACAAGTTCCCCGTTGCCCTCCTCCTCCTCAATCCTATCAAAAGGAAGGTTTCAGCTCACCTGGCTCTCAAGAGCTATCATGTTTTATATATTCCACCAAGGGAGACAAAGCCTCATCTTCTCTAGATCTTGCTTTATATAATTGTGGGACTGAAGAACTGAGCTTTCTCCATCATCCCACAGTGAAGGGGCACAGTTCTCCAAGGCCGGAAAAACTCATTCTGCCTCTTCCTCAGAGCTGTTGGGCTGAGGCCAAGTACCTCCCAGACACCCTTACCCCCAAGCTGGATCCTCTGTTTATTTGGAAGTTGCAGGGGAATAGGCACTGTATATAAAGTATTTTCTTTTATCAATTCTGAATTGTGAGTATATTTACATTTAAGGCAATACATTCTATTTCCAAGAATTCTTACCTTCTTCATTTAAAAAACTAAGCAGTTTTTCAACCATTACACCAAATGAGTAGGCATCTCGGGAATGTCCATGGCCTTCAGGAAGAATCTGGAAATCTACAGACTGTGGAATAAAAATATTACATGGAAGACTCTAACCATTTCCGAAACATTACTTTTAAAAATACCATATTTCCTTAAGTATTTAAAAACATACAGTATATACATCTTTCTACTGAAATACAAAAAGTACCATGTCAGAGATAAGTTACCAAAAGGAGGAGACTAAAATTTAAATAAAAAAGAAATGCAGAGAGTATAGAAGAAACAGCATATAATCTAGGAGGAACTGTTTGACATACAATAAGGCTACGGCCAGAGTCACAGCATTTGGTAAGAGATACATTAAAGGACTTTTGGGGTCCTGAAATCAAGGACATAATCAGGGAAGGAACTCTTGTAGTGGGTGAATTGATGAAGTAGGACAAGATAAAAAGCAAGAAAAGGCTCTACAAAAATTTTTTTCGAGAAAACAGAGCTACTTTTTTAAAGTACAGACTTTTAGAACCACAGGAGTTACTTCCAGGATGATAGAAGAACCTACAGACATTATTTCACAAATAATAGACAGAGATGATACAAAATACTCAGAACAAGTAATTTCTATCATGTTCAATTAGGGAAATAAACTGAAATTACAAACGAGAGTCTGATAATAAAACAAAATTTCAGGAAAATAAGTGATCAGATTTGTGAACATATAGAAAATATTGCATTATTTTCTAGGAGTAACATGTTTTTGTCAATATTCTTAAATTCAACATTTCTACTACCACAGATAGGGGAATTAGTTGATATTTGATGCTTGTTCAATTAGCTGCTTATCCACCTGGCTGTAGCAGTAGAAATTTTGAAGTATAATACTGAATACTTGATGTATTCATTAATGGTTCATCATTAATTTAAAATGACATCTTAAATAGTGTTTCACACAGGATTTTTGTCTTATATATACTACCTAAAATATTTAGAAATTATCTAGATGTGTGATAAAGGGATTTCTTATCAAACTGAGAGATGACATAAAAAGTAGAAAGCAAAATCAAGCAAAAAGAATCAGCTAAAAGTTAACAACATGAAATTTTACAGAAACGATATTGTATAACTGCAAATTGTTTTTAATGTTTCATAAAAAGTCATGCTTCTAGTCCAACATATTGTCTTCAATTTGATTTGTTTTTTTTAATGTTATAGTATAAAGTACAAAAGAAAATAGTAGGAAAGATAGGAGAGGGAGAAAGGGAGGGAAAAGTATAGGAAAAAAGAAAAAGAAAGAAAAGGCATTGACTTC